TTCGAGCACCTCATGTAGAGTCACCACAAAATTTTAATCACGAAACTTGCTAATAGAAAACAGGAGTCTTAAAGTAAAAGAACTAGAGTTATACCACAGATTACCAGCCCACGTTATCTGCAGCCGCACACTCGATGAGATCCGGAATATTAATCTTCACAGCGACTACCCTAAACTTCTAACCAGACTCGACCATTTGCTAAACTTGTTCTTGGTGGAGCGGGCGCTAGTTAAGCAAGGCCATTCACGAGTTGATCTTCTAACTATCAGCTTTGAGATGGTGGTCTTGACATTGAGTCTCTGGACGCAGAAACATGTGTGGGCGGGAATTCAGGGAGAAAGTCAATGGATTGTGAGTACTTGTTATTTCTTGACCCAATCTACAGCGGCTGATTTCTATGGTCTAGATAATGGGATATGCAACTCTTGCCGGGGCTGTCCTGTGCCTCGAATTGATGGACTCGGATCCTGTCATCATCACTCCAGGTAATAACGTCATTGCAGGCGAGACATATTCCAGATCCTCTATTATCCAGCAACTGAGCCTTCTCGTCGGGTGTCTCAACGCATCAAACTCATCACAGCCAAACAGCTCAATCTCTCAAAATGTCAGAGCTGTGATAAAAAAGGTCCTTGATCATATTCTAAACAACCCAAGCATTCCACCCGCCCCCATCGGCTTCGAAGGCTTTGACTTTACCGCCGATTGGGATACTTTCGCGCAATTCAACCTGCTGGATGACTTCGACTGGCTCTCTCAAGACCGCGAAATGGAAGATTCCCGTGGCTTGCAGTAGCTGAAGGAAAGAAAGCGTTGGGAGTAACCGCCGTGTCAGCCTTGAACTCAATATTAGCCTTAATAAGCCAATTAAGTTCGGGACTCCTCGGGAGCTGGATATTTACCCCTGAGGCTTGCCTAGGTAGTAGCGCTAGGGCCTGAATTGCCTGAATTAGCGCCGCCGTCAAGATTGACAAGATTGAATACGAGCGGCGGGTTATTAACGCTCGGCCTGTGTTTGTTTTCTTTAATGAACCGGCTGCTGTACACGTGAACGCTGATCAACCTATCCCGTGTCTTGGTCTTCTCCCCACAAGAGCTATGGCCAGGATTGGCAGGTGCATGATTGCATCTACAACTCCGCTGTACAGCTTGGTTAATTACTGTTAGCTTTGGAGGCGACCAACCGTTAGTGACATGTTCCCTTGAGCTAACATTGACCGTCTGCCTTCTGCCATCTTCTCAACCTATCACGCAATGCCAAAATATGATATGTTGACAAACCATAAAATTAAAGACGACATATCCAAAAAGCTTAGCTCTCACCTAATTCCACATCTCAATCGCCAAGCCAATCGATCTCCCAGCAGTCCCCACACCCAATCCCAGCTAATCCCAGCTAACCGCCTCCACCGGCGGCAGACCTCAGCCGACCAGTATTAGCTCCAGGGGAAAGACGTTCTAGGCTTTCGGATACACGGAGCAACAAACACCAGCGAACTATTAACAGCCACACTAATATGTCGATACGAACATGACGGCAATCACGCTTGACTAAGGGGCCAATAGTGTAGGCGCTTAGTCCATCTCCAGACTCCACGCTCGAATGTACGGGGTTGAATGACAGTCGCCCCTGGCCTTGTCAATTCGTAGCTTCTCAACAATGGCACTTGACTCCGTACTCCAGAGGAGATTAGTTGCGAGTCGGTTAGTGACCGCCGTATAGGGCGTTACGCGAGATTATCACACCTTGTTAAGCGGGCAGGTCAATTCCCCCATCTGAAAATAGATGCATCTTAGTCCGCAAGATAGATATAAAAGACCAAGACTCTCATCCCCATAACCTCCCTTCTTCACTCTTCAGTCATCACTCACTCCTTCTCCACACTCTTTATCCCTTGCCTCTCAACACTCGTTGTCAAAGAGACAAAAGTCATTCTTTAAACTTTTCTATTCTTTCAATACAAATCCACCAATATGAAGCTGTCTGCTGTCACCCTTCTCACCCTTGCCACCGGCATCCTCGCCGCTCCTGTCGCCGAGGCCAACGCCGCTGCCAGCTATGGCTACGAGGCCCCCAAGGAGGTGAAGCCTGCCTACCCTGCTCCTCACCACGAGCAGCCCAAGCCCAAGCCCCCTCACAAGAAGCCCGAGTACCCTGCTCCTCACCACGAGAAGCCCAAGCCCAAGCCTCACCATGAGAAGCCCAAGCCTCACTACGAGCACCCCAAGGCTCCCAAGCCTCACCACGAGAAGCCCAAGCCTAAGCCTCACCATGAGAAGCCTGCTTACCCCGTTCCTCACCACGAGAAGCCCAAGCCCAAGCCTCACCATGAGAAGCCCAAGCCTAAGCCTCACCATGAGAAGCCTGCTTACCCCGTTCCTCACCACGAGAAGCCCAAGCCCAAGCCTCACCATGAGAAGCCCAAGACACCTTCTTACGAGAAGCCTAAGGCCCCCAAGCCTCACCATGAGAAGCCCAAGACTCCTTCTTACGAGAAGCCTAAGGCCCCCAAGCCTCACCATGAGAAGCCTAAGACTCCTGAGTACAACAAGCCCAAGGCTCCTAAGCCTCATCACGAGAAGCCTAAGACCCCTTCTTACGAGAAGCCTAAGGCTCCTAAGCCTCACCACGAGAAGCCCAAGGCCCCCAAGCCTCACCACGAGAAGCCCAAGACTCCTTCTTACGAGAAGCCTAAGGCTCCTAAGCCTCACCACGAGAAGCCTAAGCCCAAGTACGAGCAGCCTAAGCCTAAGCCTCACCATGAGCAGCCCAAGCCCAAGTACGAGCAGCCTAAGCCTAAGCCCCAGGGCTCTTACCCTGCTCCCAGCACTCCTCACTACTAGATTCGCTCTGGTAGACAGCAACGCGAGACGGTCTCTCTTGTGGTGACATGATGGGTGGCTTCTTGCTGGATGCTGTTGATGTGCTGGTGTTGCCCTTCCGTGGTTACTCTCTTGCAAGAGAAGTTTAGCTACGGGATGGACGAGTTCGACGAGTCACACCGTGGATGTACAAATCTTTAACATACTCTGTATCTATTCGCTTCAAATAATATTAATAATTGCTGGATTTGTAAATCATGGTTTAAACTGATTGAGTGAGTGACATTTGTGTGCTGTGATGTACGGCTGAGTTGATTATGCAATTTTTGTATTTGGCCATTTACTAGACTTGATAAGAAGGTGCACATTGGACTATAAGAGAGTATTGCTGTAGCTTGATATATCTGGTGACATACCAGCACTTGTCCACAGAGAGCTGGAAACATCATACCTCGCCTATCCCATCTTGTTTGATATGTCTTCCATTCAACAAAGTCCTCCCCTACATGTCAGCAAACACGCACTAATCCTAGCATCCAACGTTAACCCATGGTATACTACGACTGCGACTGTTCATTACGCAATGCTCGATAAGCAGCCACAATATACGACTACCTCTGACATAAGCATGAGGCCCAAATAATGTAGAGTCATTGCATCTTTCTTTCGCGGAGTTCGGTGCTCGGTGCTCGGCACTCATTCTCCACTAACCACTCCCGTGCCTTAGAGCGGGAGAGAAACTTGGTGGGGTAATGCGGTGTTGCACTATTGCTTATGATAAGAAACTTACACAGTTGCACTGCAGGAGATGGAAAACAGGATTTAAGGGTAGAAAGAGAAACTGCCGCGTTATTCGGTTCAGGATATAAGACTACAAGCAATCCCTCCCAAAGAGAAAACTCAGATCCTTATTCAGAGCTTCCCAAATCCATCCTTCATCATGACTTCTTCCCTACCCAAGACTTACAAGGCCTTGTTCTTCGACAACAAAGGCGCCGAATTGTCTATCAGAGATGTCGAGTTGAAAGAGCCCGGACCAGGCTACGTCCTTGTTAAGGTTGTCGCCTGCGGTGTCTGTCACTCTGATCGATTCGTGCAGCAGGGCAATTTCGGTGATGTCTTCCCTCGTGTACCCGGCCATGAGGCAGTTGGAGACATCGTCGCTATAGGTGAGGGCGTTACTCGGTTCAAGATGGGGGAACGAGTTGGCGGCGGATGGCATGGAGGTAAGACCAAACCACCCTGGTTGTTATCAGAGTAGCTGACGAGTAGGCCATGATGGATCATGCCGCTCCTGCCAACAGGGCATGTTCCAGATCTGCGACAACGAACAAGTCAACGGCGTGAGTATGGACGGCGGCTACGCGGAGTACGTCCTCCTCCGCGCCGAAGCAGCCGTTCGAGTCCCAGCGGATGCCAATCCTGCTGAAGTCGCCCCCTTCCTCTGCGCCGGCGTCACCGTCTTCAACGCCATACGAAACGCAGGTGTTCTTCAAGGCGGTGTTGTAGCTGTCCAGGGCCTTGGAGGTCTCGGCCACTTGGCTCTGCAGTACGCCTCCAAGATGGGCTACACTGTTGCGGCAATGAGCCATGGCGCAGACAAGCAGGATTTTGCAAAGCAGCTGGGTGCGCATCATTACATCGACACCAGTGCTGAAGACGCAGCAGAGGCGCTCCAGAAGCTTGGAGGCGCAAACATGATCGTTGCCACGGCCCCCAATGGAAAAGCCGTCAGTCCTCTCGTCGCAGGCCTTGCACCTCAAGGAAAGTTACTGGTGCTTGCTCCTCTCGGACCTGTCGAGTTCGACACCAAGATCATGGTCATCAAAGGTCTCAGCGTGAACGGGTGGAACTCGGGACATCAGCAGGACTCGGAGGATGCGATTGCTTTTGCGCATCAGCATGGGGTGAAGTGCATGATTGAGACGTTCCCGTTCATGACGGATTACAAGCAGGCATTTGATAAGATGGCTGATGGAAAGGTGCGCTTTCGGTCTGTCATGACTTTTTGAGAGGTCTATGAGCTGTGCCAGACTGTTTATGGTTAAGTGCAAGGGTGAATAAGGGACTTCACGTCTGTAGATAAGAAATACTAGTGCAGACAGAAAAATCATTCAATTATCATTTGTTACATGTATGTATACTAAATTCATCTCTGATGTCATAAGAAAGACCAGCCAAGATGGCCGAGTGGTTAAGGCGCTGCACTCAAGACTCTGTCTTAGCCAGTCAACTGGAAATATTGCAGTATCGAAAGATGCTTGGGTTCGAATCCCAATCTTGGCAAACATTCATTTTTGCAGTTTAATCCACTGATGAAAAGAGATTTTCAAATAAATGAGACTCCTTAGAAGCAGGGAAACCATCTATTTAAACTTGAAAAGTTGGCGACAGCACGAACTAATTTGTTGGCTTCTCCTCATTTTCTTTACTATGCCGGCTCTCGACATGTTAACACGAGACTCTTAGCAAAGGCAATAAAGGCTCTTAATGTTCTAGTCCTTAAAAACGACACAGACCTGGTGTATAATTGCTAGTATAGAATGGATTGATTGATGTAGTAGTGATTTGGATAGGACAATGGTTGAATCTCACCCTTTTCCGATTTCAGTGGTAAGTGGAGACTTCGGCAATGCGACGCCGAATTCGGAGTCGGAATCGCATCTCGGGTTTCAACACCACAAGCGTCTTCTCTTATCTCGAGGTGTTCATAGAAAAGCCTCTAAAGATTACGACTAATTCTTGTAAACAACCAGTTCCTGGCTTCCTCTTTGCCTTGCTCCTCACAGATAGTTAAGAAGGCGGTGACTAATTGTTCAGAATGTCGTGGGAGACGATTGTAAAGCAGAAAAGAGCTCTGCGGGATGCTGCTCTCGAGCAAGCCGCTGTTTCTGTTGACAAATTTACCTCTCAGGCGCAAGATTTGGAAGTCCTAGTTCCAAAGCATGCTGATATAGCTTCTCTCACTGACAAGTTGAGTACTGGTGTGCTGTCAGCAGAGACACTTGTTTCCGTTACTATCAGCCGGTAAGTCCCACAGCGTCCACTATCTATCTCTATGCTCGCCTTTACTAACATTCCTTTGCAAGAGCGATCGAGTCTCACAGAGAAGTAAACAAACCCCATCCCATTCGCGATGTGACTAACATCCTAGACAAACTGCCTCAGCGAACCACTCTTCCAGCCCGCCTTCGAGCGCGCCAGATATCTCGACAACTTCTTCCACACCCACAAACGCCTCATCGGTCCCCTCCACGGCATACCCATCTCCATGAAAGACCAATTCCACATCAAAGGCGTCGACACAACCCTCGGCTACGTTGGCCGCTCCTTCAAGCCCGCCGACGACACCGCCGTCATGGTCACCATCCTTGAGAAGCTGGGTGCCGTCATCGTGGTAAAGACGGCTATTCCCCAGAGCATCATGTACGGCGAGACAGAAAGTCCGCTTTGGGGATTGACCACGTACCCTGGGAGGCCTGAGTTATCGCCTGGAGGTTCTTCGGGAGGTGAAGCTGCGCTTATGGTCATGTCTGGGTCACTTGGCGGGTGGGCTACTGATATTGGTGGTTCTATTCGTGTGCCTAGTCATTTGTGTGGGCTTTTTGGGCTGAAGCCTACTTCTGGGCGTTTCTCGTATGCTGGAGCTGCGAACTCTCACGAAGGACAGACTCATGTGCCTTCTTCCATTGGACCCATAAGCCCATTGCTTTCAAATCTTGTCACAATGACTAAAGAATGTCTGCTCGCCGAGCCTTGGACCCTAGATCCTAACGTTATTCCCATTCCCTGGCGGCAAGAGATATACGATCACGTTCAACAGCGACCGCTCACCATAGGCGTCATTCTAGACGATGGTGTCGTCCGTCCTCACCCCGAAGTACAAATTGCGGTTCAGCGAGCCGTGGCACTTTTCGAACAAGCAGGACATAAGGTTGTTCCTTGGAGCACTGAAGAGCACATGCGCTGCATCGAGATCCAAGACCAGTTTTACCGCGCAGATGGGGGAGAGGATATCAACCGCGAGGTGGTTGTGGCAGGCGAGCCACTGATTGCACATGTAGAAGCACTTGTTAAATCGTCAAAGGCTATTTCGGTGTATGAGTACTGGCAGTTGAACCGTCGCAAGACTGCAGCGCAGGAGGCATATAACCGGAAGTGGAAGACTGATGATAAAACTTGTGTTGATATCATTATCAGCCCTGTGTCGCCTCATACTGCCGTGCCACATTGCTCAAGTCGATGGACGGGGTACTCCAAGATCTGGAATTTCATGGACTACACAGCCATGTCATTCCCCTTTGCAAAGTTTGGTCCTCCAAAGTCAGGTGACTCGTCGAAAATTTATATCACCGTTACTGAGGATGAGCGACAAAGCTATCTAGATCAAACGCCTCGCAACGCAATTGATGAGTGGATACATGGACTTTACGATCCCCAGGCCATGCGGGGACTTGATATTGGAATTCAGATTATTGGACGGAGGTTTGAGGAGGAGAAGGTCTTGGGTGTGGCTGCGCTTTTGGAGCGTCTGCTGTCAGATGCGTCAAAATAGATTGGGGTTAATGATAGATAATAATGCTTGCAGTTCATTCTTGGCAACTGTCACGTAGATCGGATGTCGTTCTGCTGCTGGACTTGGCAAATGCCAAGCGATATCCGTATTCCGTACTGTCCCCTGCTTCCTCTCTACCTACCTAGCAGCAGTATTATCTGCCGTTTTTAGGATCTACCATTTCAACCATAGCTTGTCGGCAATACAATAGACTTTCACTAGACCTCTTGATATATGGGATATCCCGACTCTCCCAGGGCCGGTTATTCTAGACACCGTATTGAATACTACCTCGCCTATCCAGCCGGGTCTTGGGATATGGTATCTTGTATGGAGCATTATTAAGTTTAATAACCTGTACCGAACATACAACTTTTCAAACCTATCCGAAAGCTTATCAAAACAGCAAGGATACCTGGGCCGATCAACAGCAGCGCATAAACTCCAGAAAACAGCCGCATACCCATCAAGAGAACCATCCTCTTCAGGCAAAGCATACTTGACGCAGCAAAAGCTCACATAACGAACTCTCCCCACATGATTGCGGAATTATCTCCAACGCCACTACTAATCAAAGATAGGCAAGACGATATCGGCCGATCAAAAGGTCCCCTCCATCACCTACACACATGCTGCTCCTGAAATTACGGAGCATCTCGCCTGTAGGTAAAAAAAGTTCCACGGAGAATGAGCCCCAGTGCAGGGGTGTGTCCCGCGCCATTGCTACGCTGGCCCCTGTCGATCAGAAGCTCAGACCGGGGTCGTCGGGCTCTTATTCGATCCCCACCATCTCAAGACCATGCTGCTTTAGGGAGGTTCGGCAAGTGATAAGGGAAACCTTGGAACTTATGATAGGCTGGTGGGAACTATGCTGCAAGGGGACCCTTTTTGATTTGGCCTACATATCGAAAGTGGTTTCATATGATTTGAACTCTATCGCGGCCTGCTGTATCTGGAACGGAGTGTCGTTGGTTGCATGTGCGGTAGATAGGCTATAGGCTATGATAGTGGTATATAATGTATTCATATCTCCCTGGTAATTAATCTGTCAAGCTTCCTTGCTCAACCACATTCTTTTGCTATCTGCAAACACATTCGTTCTTTTAGTCACTCTTTTGACAAACCACATTCTTTACAAACACACACTCTTTACACACACTCGCTATGGTCCGTTTTGGATTGACAGCGCTGCTTTGTGCAGGCCTGTCGGTTGCTGCCCAGGATGTTGAGAAACCCAAGGAAGCTATCACTGCTGCTCATATCCCTGGAGCGTACATCTTTGAGTTCGAAGAGAACCACGTAAGTATCACTCAATCTTTGCTATACTTATTTACTGACAAGTACAGGACACTGCCAAGTTCTACAAAGAGGCAGATGGCCAGTCCACCACGCGTGTCAAGTTCGACTACGACCTCTTCAAGGGCGTGTCTATCCAATTTGACGATGTCGAGTCTGCAGAGGACCTGGCTGCCAAGATGGCTTCCCTCCCGGTTGTCAAGAACATGTGGCCCGTCAAGGTCTACGGTATTCCCACTCCCCGTGTGGAGTGGACTGCCACGCCTGGAATGAAGGCTCCTCTGCAGAAGCGTGGTGCGAACGACACTGACACTTTCTCGCCTCATGTCATGACTCAGGTTGATAAGTTGAGGGCCAAGGGCGTTACTGGACATGGCATCAAGGTTGCCGTTATCGACACTGGTGTAAGTTCTCCACTAAATCTTTTCTGTTTCGCAGCTTACAAAGTAGATTGACTACAAGCATCCCGCTCTGGGTGGCTGCTTCGGCGCCGACTGTCTTGTTTCCTTCGGTACTGATCTCGTCGGCGACGACTATGACGGTTTCAACGCCGTCTTCCCCGATGAGGACCCCATGGATTGTGGTGGCCACGGCACTCACGTCGCCGGCATCATCGCCGCGCAGAACAACAAGTACGGCTTCACAGGCGCAGCCCCCGGCGTGACCCTCGGCGCGTACAGAGTCTTTGGCTGCTCGGGAGAAGCAGGCAACGACGTGCTTATTGCTGCCTTTAACCAGGCTTTCCAAGACGGCGCCGACATCATCACTGCGTCTATCGGTGGACCAAGTGGCTGGTCTGAGGAGCCGTGGGCTGTTGCTGTGTCGCGCATCGTTGAGAAGGGCGTGCCTTGTACCGTCTCTGCTGGTAACTCTGGTGATGTCGGTATGTTCTATGCCAGTACGGCTGCGAACGGAAACAAGGTTATGGCTATTGCCTCGTACGACAACGCCGATTACATGTCCCTTCTCAACATCTCGCACTACTCCGTCAACGGGAGCAGTGACAGAATCGGCTTTGGAATGACCGCCGGTACGCCCGCTGCTTGGAAGAACGTCACTCTTCCTCTGTGGGCGCCCAACCTGGATGTCACTGTTACCAACGGCGGCTGTGATCCTTACCCAGCTGATACCCCCGATCTGAGCGGCTACATCGTGTTGGTGCGTCGCGGAACATGTACTTTTGTGCAAAAGGCCCAGAACGCAGCCAAGGCCGGCGCGAAGTATTTCCTTGTCTACAACAACGCCGGCGGAGCTTCCGAGATTGACGTTTCTACTGTTGATGGTATTCTTGGCGCTGGCATGGTCACCTCCAAGGTAGGAGCCACGTGGATTGGCCTTTTGAAGAAGGGATCCAAAGTCACCCTTGAGATGTCTGATGGATCCGATGGAGAGATCATCCTCGAGGAGAGCAAGAACGACAAGACGGGCGGCGCGG